GGGGGGGGGGGGGTGGGGGTTGTAGATTTTGTATGGCTGACGTTAATGGAGAAGAGAGGGGAAAGAGGAAGGAAGAGAAGAAGGTAAAATAGTCTCACCGGTTATTTCGTTACACTACACACGACTACTACTCTTACTATTTCAATTCCCAAATTAGTTAACGAGTGGACTATATTAATTTTCCAAGTTTTTCCAACTCTATTTGACCAGTTTTTAGTAGAGTCATTTTATGATTTGTCCTTTCTATAAATTCTATAAGTGATAAAGTGAATTGTTTTCCCTACAAATAAATCACACTTTTTACTGGAGTTTCATTGTGAACAATTTACATTCTAAATCTAAAAAAAAAAAGAAGACGCGACTCAAAGGCAACATAAAATGTCAAACCAAGAATTTTTTTGTTCTTAAATAAAATGGTGGATATAAATTCACAATCAAGAAGCTAGTGATTTCTTTTAAATCATAAATTAGAATTTCCATAAGGTATAATAGTAAGCTTGTCTTCAGTCCAATTCTTGCATTCCATCGAGCCTCTTTGAAATTACATCATTGCATCTCGTTTAACTCAAGTTGCCCTGCTCGTCGCCGAGGGTGGTCAAGCGCACATCCTTTGCCGAAAAATTATATTGTGTATATAAGTTAAATATTATTTTATATAATTATATAATATTGTGAACACCTTTAATACCATTTAGTGGAGCAGTTCAGCGGTTTAGAGTGTTCAAAGTGACATTTATAAAATTTTGCCCATTTTGTTTGTCAAAACTAAACGGAAACCAACATGCGCGGTCAATTTAATTTTTTTTTTTCAATCTAAAAAATTTCCTAATAAAATAACTCGTAAAACTTAAAATTTGTGTAGAATTAAACAACTAATTTAAAAGCAACTTTTTTAACTAAAAGTTATTTCTGAAATAGATTTTATAATTTAATAGTCAAGCTCTACAAAAATTTCTTCAACAAAATCTCTCTACAAAATTTTAAATCCTCTCAACTCTCTCTTTCTCTTGGGTTTATGCTTGCTTTTTTTAGTAGAATTTATAATGTTGTCTTTTTACTATTTTAATTTTGGTTATAAAATTATAGTTCTATTAATTTTTTTTATTGCTTGGCTAAATGTTGCGTAGTTTGAATTAAACTATTTGGTACACCATTTATACACAAAAAATTTATTTACTTGTTTAAAGTTTGACCACCCTTGGCAGAATTACTGACTAGGACACTGCTGCTCGTTTTAAATAAAATAAAGTATGCAATATTTACTAAGAAGGAGTATAATTTTATTGAAAATTTTAATATACCACTAGTTTTTAATCACGATGAATTATCACAGAAATTTTTATAAAGAATGTCTTCTGTATTTCATATTTCTTAGTAAATCTCTAAAGAGATTAGAACTCTATTTCAAATAGGAAACATCAGTATTTTGTTCAGTGAAAAAAAAAAAGGAATAAAATATGTAAGGGGGAAGAAGTGCTGGCTTTGGGAGTTTTTGTCTCTATTCTGTAGACAACCTTTCGTGTACCTCCTGGACTTCCCTCCCTACCCCCCCCCCCCCCTGCCCCACCCCCAAACCCCAGTTTCACCCCTAGACCCCACCCGCCACTTGGGTTAGCTCATTGGGCCCCACTTTATTTCTCGTCGAATAAATATTTAACTTTCGCTTTCGTACGTCGGATTAACCTATTCCAAAATACTGTTCTACTTCCTCCGCCAAAATCTGCTCAGATATTTTCTTTGGTACATACGTCTTCGCTTTCGCTTTTTTCCGCGACAACCATTAAAAAATATTTCCCTCCATTTTAACTCTTAGACAAGATTTTTAAGACCGTATTTTTACTATTAAATATCTTATAATATTTGTGTAATTGTCAATTATGGACTTTTAAAATTTATAATCTATTTATATGGTTATAAAAGCTTCTCACTAAGAGTGAAATAAAAAATTCAAATTTAAAATGTTTCATATTTTATATGATAAGATTTAATTAAACACAAAATTTAGGATTTAATTTACTTGTATGTAATAATGTGATTGTAAAAGAAACTATTAAAGTTGCGCGGATAAAGTTAATTCAATAAATAAAACATCACAGTAATACTTAATTTTGAATAAAAATAATTCACTTGAATTGCTAAGAATTGTAACGGTATATGAAATAGTGCAAAGGTGGAGCTAGGATTTGAAGTTTGTGGATTCTGTACTTGATACCGAACTCACAGCATATTTTAGTTACTGGATCTACGCAAACGTAGTTGGATTCGCCGAACCCATAAAGAATACCCTACCTCCACCCCTGAAATAGTGTTATTGCTGGAATATTTTTTTTGGTGCGAAAGATAACTAATATATATTAAAGTATGCGTACAGAGGTTTGGTGCTCATGCACCATATTACAGTTATGATTAAGATTTATACTATTACAGCTATTGGAGGTGTCGCCCAAAACACACTGGCGAGCCTCTATGCTAGGGACTGTTGTTTGTCTAACTAAGTTCTCAAAATAAAAATCGTCAGTCATAGTAGATATACTATTAGTAACAAAACTTATGGCAGTAGCTTGATCTTCATGTTGCTGGAACTCAGAGGTGGGTACCATACGGTGATATATTGTACCCTGTTTGTCTGCTACCAACCTATTTGAAACTGAGGTTGGTAGTCTAACAAAAATTTGCAACTCATCAGTAAGTTGCAATCCTCGACCTAGCTTTGCAAGGTGGTCTGCTACTCCGTTTACATGGGTTTGATTTAATGTAGCCATGTAAACATATTCTTTGCATCTGTTTACATCCGTTTCCAAGGTGAACTACTGGATCATGGAGAGTCATGAGGAGATGCCTGCAGTCAAAAATTAAGTTAGAAAATTTTTGGCTAGCATTATAGTGTAACAATCTTCTTTGCATCCGTTTCCACTTCTAGCGGCAGCGGTTGCATTTGTATAGCTATGCTTAAGCCTTTAATGAGTGCTTGCAATTCAGATGTGATACAGTGAACATGAGGAACTGTCACGACCCGGAATTCCCACCCTCGGGAGTCGTGATGGCGCCTACTAGTGGGAGCTAGACAAGCCAAACCTTAGTTACCTTTTTCATTAACGCATTACCTCTTTCAACAAATATCGGCAATCGCATGCAAACGACGGAATTTAATAAATCAGCGGAAGTCTTAAATTAAAGAAACTGGATAAAAAAATGCGGAAGTACAACATAAGCCTCTACCCAAGAACTGGTGTCACAGTGTCACAGACTATCTAAGATCTACTACATACAAGGTCTGAAGAAAAATACAATAAACTGTCTCTGAACAAAAGATAATGAAACAGTGAATGAAGATAGAGGGAGACGCCAGGGCCCGCGAACGCCTGCAGGTCTACCTTGGGTCTCCGGGTGGACTGAAGGAAGCCCTTCTAGCTACTGATGTTGTCCAATACCTGGATCTGTGCAAAAGAGCACAGAGTGTAGTATCAGCACAACCGACCCCATGTGCTGGTAAGTGCCTAGCCTAACCTCGGCGAAGTAGTGACGAGGCTAAGACCAGACTACCAGATAAACCTGTGCAGTTCAACTATATATATATACAACGGAAAGAAATACAGGAAAATAAACAGTCAATAAGGAAGGGAGGGACATGCTGTGGGGAGGCAACAGTTACAAATAGGAAACCTCAATATAAAGATAGAAGCAGCCCAAGAATTTACAGCGAACCAAGAAACGAATATCCAAAATAAACACACTTGAATCATCATCTGTTGCGGCGCGCAACCCGATCCTTATATATAACAACACTGTTGCGGCGTGCAACCCGATCCATAAATATCATTGTTGCGGCGTGCAACCCGATCCTCAAATATCATTGTTGCGGCGTGCAACTCGATCCTCAAATATCATTGTTGCGGCGTGCAACCCGATCCTCAAATATCACTGTTGCGGCGTGCAACCCGATCCTCAAATATCATTGTTGCGGCGTGCAACCCGATCCTCAAATATCATTGTTGCGGCGTGCAACCCGATCCTCAAATATCATTGTTGCGCCGTGCAACCCGATCCTCAAATATCACTTGGTAGGCGTACCACACGATCCCATTTCATAATACTACGTGATAGGCGTACCACGCGCTCCCATTTCATCAGTCACAATATAACAAAATAATCCCGGCTGGGGGACAACAGTGTATAACTTCCCGGCAAGGGAACAACAACATAATAACTTCCCGGCAAGGGAACAAAATGTCAAATCAAATGTTCCGGCAAGGGAGAAACATCTATAACCGCACTGGTCCCAACATCTAACTACCGCAGCTACGACCGATCCTGTTGCAACATCTAACTGCCACAACTATAATCAATCCAGTTACGACACCTATCTACCACAACTTTGATCAATCCTATTACAACATCTAACTACCACAACTATAATCAAACTTGTTGCTACACCTAACTACCTCATCTATAACCAACCTATTACAACACTTAACTACCTCAGCTATAACCAACCTATGACAACACTTAACTACCTCAGCTATAACTATAGTCATCACTCAACACAAGGAAGCATTAACCTAAGCGTCCGTAATATCAATTAAGAACACAGTACAAGGGAACTACAATTCGACAATGGCCCGCCAAGGGACAACAAAATGATCTTTTCTCTCCTTACTTTTACTTCACAATTCACTTCACAACTCGAGCCAATGCTCTAGAGGTCCAATTATCACTTATACTTTTGCAATTCCCTATACAACTGGAGTCAACGCTCCTCAATATCCAAAAGTCGCGATTCTTTCCACATCATTGCACAACAAATAGAAATAATCACCAAGGCATGAATAATACAACGGAGTCATGGAAATCACAATATAGGACCCACGGTCATGCTAGACACCAATGTATAGATACTCGTCACCATGCCTATACATCGTACTCGACAATTAGCAAGTAGCAAATAAGACTCTACTCCTATTCCCTCAAGC